TTAATTTTCTTGTTCGAATCAGTTATTTCTTATAAGTCTTATTTATTATAAATAAATTAATTAGAAATTGCCTAGATAGATAATGCAAGCCAGATATTATATTAATGCCGGCCAGATAGTTTGGTAATGCCGGCCGGATGATTTTATTTGGGATCATATTAAAAATCACGCGCGGGATCCAAAAAAATCACGCGCGGATCCCGCGCGTGCCCATCTCTATATAAAAGGCACAAAATAAATGACCCCGTAAATCATGAAATTTGCACAAAGAAATTTTATAAATTTCTAAATTCGAAAATCATAAAAAAAAAATGATTCACCAACAAAAAAAAGATCAGTTTTTCCAAAGGCAAATGAAAGTTTTGGAAAAGTTTAAGCGAGGTTTTTCAAGAAACCAATAATTGGTTTAAGAAAAACCCTCCGAAAAAAATAAATGCCAAAGTTAAGGATTATATAATGCATTACTTTATCACTAATTCTCCAAAAGAAATAAGTAATTATACGGGTAATTATACATGACTTTTCTTAACAAAACGTTTTTAAGTTATTTTAATTCAGAATTTCTAGATTCTTTGATATTCACATTAGTATATGAAACATTCATTGTTCACACTTTTTTGAAACCAGAAATATTGCTGTATTAGTAACTACGATTTTAAAGAAACTAATAACACATCATTACAGTATTTCAATTCAATAGTCACACCTTCAACATCGTTATCGTCATCATCGTCTTCGTCTTCAGCAATTAAGGAAAATCGGGATGAAGGATTTCCTGTGCAGACAAGTAATTCTTTTCCGATTTAATTTCTCTTATATTAATGATCCTACGAACCACTAAGAAGCTTGAAGAATTAATCATGACCGAATTAAACGGAATAAGTTTAGAATTAAGAAGAGCATTATCTGAACTACTCCGCGAACTCCGCCGCCAAAAAAAAAATTATACAAAAAAGATGAATGACAAGAAGATAACATCAAGCTTAAAAGAAGAGAATGAAAAAATTTAATGATGGAGTGCTCTGCCAACATGAAAATAAGAAGATATCACGATGCTATTCAAAAGACGTATGAATTTTCTAGACAAAAACGAGTTCAAATATGGTGTTGTATTTAATGCTGCTGAATATTATCGACGATTAGAGAAAAGATAGTAGCAGTCTTGTTATTTCACATAGATCACGCAGAAATTCCACTAGTATAGAAATTCTCACGACGAGTAGAAGAAAAAAATAAATAAATGAATAAATATAAATATAGAAATTTTTCTTTTCTTAGGTCAGCTTTTTGTTAGAATAAAGAAGTATAAAATGTGTTACCATATAAAAAAATAACTAGTGATAAAAAATTGACATATTTTAAGATGGTAAAATGGACGCAAACTTGTTGTACCATAATATACAAACTGAACCTTATCCTATTAAGTAACTTTCAATCATTCGACACGACTCATACAAAATTTGCTTTAAAAAAATTTTTTTATTTTTTTGTTTCTAATAGCAACCTTTAGTAACCTTTAGTGACCTTACCTGTCTATGGATAGTTTAAGATACCTCATACCAACTCATTATAACTTAAAGCGCGACGCAAACGCGAATTTTTCTAAAACTCGAAGTACGATGTAAACACAATCTTATAATAATACAATGTTATTTCCCCGACATTATTATGGTAGTTACAAACAATTAAAACTTTATTATATCGAGTGTAACCCTATTTTTATTTAGTTGTAGTACTGTATAATATATTATCAGTTTGAGACGATTAACAATATGTACATTTTTACTGGTACTTGAAACTAACGTTCTTTTATATTTAATAGACTCCTATCAATAGCTGATATACAGTAAGAAAAATCACTAATGATTATGCATCTTCTTCATTATTTCTTTCCCCAAACACTAACTTAACAACACTTTTCATTTTGCTCATTAGTCTATTTTCATAGAAAGCTTTAATCAAATTAGAGAGAAACATAGATCCATTAAAAGGTACAGGGTAATCCAAAGTTCTAGGACTAGAAGTTTGTATTAACGATGGGAATCGATCTAGAGTAATTGATTTCATTAAACATTGCTGACGGAGACCTTCTACTCCTCCAAACCTACAATATTTAGATATAATAATAATCATAAGGTACACTGGCGATCATAAATAATGCATCAAAAAAAAAAAATTCGTTAGATCGAATTTTCTCGCGCAATTCCGCGTGT